CCTTTCCTCCATGCTGCAGGAAATCTCAGCAGCCCCAGCCTGGGCCCTAGCTGCTCCACTGTTGGGAGCCATTCTACATAATTTTGGGGAAAAATCATTTCACAATTAAATTATGATCAGGTCTAGCCTTCTTGCCTAAGGCCAGCTATGTCATACCAAAACATAATTCCATTTTTGCTGAGGGTTACAGCTAAGACTGCAATGGCCCTGTGATGCTGATTCCATCAGCTGAAGACATCCTGGGTCTTTGAGAACCGAGTAGAAAGGCCTCACCTGGGGAGAGACAATCCTTACTGCTTACCTCATCCCACCCACTGTTGTATGAATGTCTGTGCTCATCTTGCTGCTTTATCAATGTAAGACCCTCAACAGCATAAGATTCTCAGGGTTTTAGGGTTACCACCACCCTCTGAGTCATCTGTTATTCCTAGGAACCCAATAAACAGTGGCAAGCTTGGGGTCCTTCTTCTTTGTGGCCCAGAGCAGCATTGATCTCATCCAAGGCTCAGCTTCTCCTCTAAATCTTGTTTTCTGTCTTTATTCTTTAATTTGCCTTGTGCTGTCGTGGCTCACAGGAGACCAGGACCCACTGCAGGGGTTGTGGTAATGTCCCTTTCCCTGTTTCCTACAGTAGGAGACCTCGGAATGACGCTGGCTTCGAGGCGTAGTTGTCATACTTAAACCCCACTCCTTTCCTCTTCCCAGCACCAGTCAAAATTCCCATGCCGGGTGCATGTGCCAGGAACCAAGTGACAAGCAGGCAGTCTCACCCCTTCTGTCCTCCTGTCTCCTGAAAGCCACCCTGTCTGCAGAAGCTGCCACTTTCACCGCCACCTCATCCTTGCCACCAGGTTCCCAATCCCAGGTCAGGAACTCCCGACTTCCTCAACAGTCCCTGAGGTCGTCCACGAATTTGCGCTCGGACTGCCCTCAGGGTGGCCGCACACTGCCTCGCCGTCCCGCCGGTCACAGCACCGCTATCCGGTGTGGCGGCCGCAGGACTCGGGTCCGCGGTGCTGCTCCCGGAGGGAGCACGGGCCGGCGCGTAGTCAGCTCCGGAGCCGAGCGGAGGGGAGCCAGAGCCGCAGGCCCCGC